CAGGAATTACTTCCCTTGGGAAAATATACTTTTATTTTGGGAGTTACAGTTAATCAAGTTTTATAATATTGACATATGATTAAAAATAATTATATTTACAAACTGGCTTTCATCCATGGTGAAATTTTACAGCCTTTGTGTTTTATAAATAAAATTTTAATTCCCAATCAAAAAAGAAATCCTTTAAAAAAACCCACCACAGACAATAACTGCTATTACTATTTAAAGCTTATTGCACCTGCTATACATTAAGCACTCACCTGTATTATCTCATTTGGTTCTTAACCAACCCTTTGAAGTAGGCCCTGCTACTACCTCTATTTTACAGATGAGGGCACTGCTGCACAGAAAGGTTAAGTAACTTATCCAAGGTCAACAGCTAATACATGGCAGGGGTTAGCAGAAAAATGTGGTTCCAAAATGTACACTCTTGATATTTAAGGAAAAAAAAAAAATCAATGATAGCTTTATAATTCCAGATGCAAACACATGATATTTTATTCAATATCAACACAGCTTTGATAATTTAAGCTTTTCCTGAGAACTTATAAATAAAAGAGATTTCTGTTTTAAAGCAAAATGTAGGGAATTCCCTGGTGGTCCAGTGGTTAGGACTTGGTGCTTTCACTGCCATGACCCAGGTTCAATCCCTGGCTGGGGAACTAAAATCCCGCAAGCCACACAGCCAAAAGAAGAAAAAAAGAAAGAAAAGAAAAATGTAAAGCTGTAACACTTTATTTAATTTTCAACAAGTGGATTAAGTAATATCCACAAACAAGTTTGGACATAATTTTCAGAAGAGCCAATTTTAAATTAGTTTTGTCTTATCTGCTTTATCAGAATTTTCATCTGGTACAATTAAGGATATTACATAACTATATTATTTCATTGACATTATACACTGGAATGATTGTGTTCATACAGAGATAATCATAAACAGGCCTTCTTTTAAGCAAGATATTTGTATTTCACAGCAGAAATAGGCCACTTCTGATTCTGACACTTGTATTAGGTCATGAAGATTTAAATTACATAAGTCTTAAAGTGTAAAAAGACATCCTTCCTGTCCTCTACATTGACTAAATCCAATTAATGCCTTGCTTAATTTCTATCTTCTTCATAAAGTTCCCACCAGTCCACATATATTTTCTATTCTTTGAATTCCTTTAGCGTTTAATGTCATTTTGATAATTAGGAATTAAGGACAGAGAGTATAACTTAAACTACTTTTCTATTTCTTCTCCAGTTTTTACATAATGCTGGATACATGGCTTACTGAAATCCCTTTGGTTGAAATAATTTTTTCCTCACTACTGTAATATTAACTTTGGTATTTAGTTAACAAATATTTATTCTGTGCCTACCATATGCCAGGCACTGATCTAGGTTCTGGAGATATAGCAAGAACAAAACGTAAGTGCCTGCTCTCATGTAGCTTACATTCGAGTGAAAGAAAACAGATAAAATAACTGAAAAAAAAAAATTTTGTAATTCCAAATAGTGATAAATGCTAAGAAAAAATAAAGTAAGGCAAGGATACCGAGATAGGGGATGGAGTGAGGCAAGGACTGCTATTTTAGACAGGGTGGCTTCTCTAATGACCACGGGGAGTGAAATAAGGAGTAAGCCACTCAAAGATATTTAGAGGAGGAACATTTCAGGAAGAGGAAATGGCGAGCACAAAAGCCTTGAGGGAACGAGTCAGACATGTTTGAGGGGGTCAATGTGTCTATGTGACGGGAGGATGAGAGAGATGGGGTGGTGAGGTGGCCAGAGACCAGATCAAATGAGGCCTTCTGAGCCATGGGAAGGACTTGAGGTCTATGGTGAGAAGCCCCCCAACAAGGAAATACTCTGTTTATGATCTCCAAGGGGAGAAAAAACTTTTATCATGTAAAACTGTGAAATACAAATAATGACTTACTGTGAATTATCTTCATTATTTATTCTTTTGAGCTCTCGAATGTGAAGATTTCTGACTCTTTCCAAACGTTCAAGTTCTGCCTGAATTTCTGCCTCTTCCTGAAAATGAAGAGAGGGGACTATAACAAGCTCAATTTATTTGTGATATAAAAAAGATATTTTTACTCATTCACCAATTTTTTACAGTGATGGGAAGAATAGTGTATTATAAAGTTCCACTGAGTTAAAAGACCAAAGTGCTCTTTTCAATGTCTGAAAGATAGAAAGAGATAAGGCAAAAGCCTATTTCAAGAAACCGTCCTCCACATGAAAATCTTTATACCTAACGAGATGCTGACTTTTATTCTGTACCACAAGAAATCTATTTTTATAATGTCTAAACTGAAAATGACTGCAAGGTAGTCTGAAACTGACTTATAACACAAAATGAGCTGAAAGTTTTATTTCTGGTACATCCAAATTTTAATTTAAGAGGGAATAATTTACTAGTACAAAACAAAAGAAATGAAGATATTTCACAACAGTTAAAAGAGGAAGAAAGGTAGGAGACAGAACTACTGATTATTCTGAGACCTTACAACATTTGGAACACACACACACACACACACACATACACACACACAGTCTGACCACTCACTTTGGATAAATCCCACTACAATTTTAAAGAGACTCTTAAAACAAAAATTTTATGAATAGCTGTGGCAGATCCTTAGTTATCAGAGCAGAACTAGGCAAATCCTAAAGAAATTTACTTTAACATTCATTTAATCTAAACATTTTGATAAATATTTTTCATGTCTCAAAATATATAATTTTTAGAACATTTAAAAAAATTAGACACCAAAACAAATAAAATCACCCATTACACACATACCTCTTGATTTGTCAATATAAATTTAAATACTACTTAAAAAACAAGAACATATCAAATTTCAGTGAAAAGTTCTACGAATGCCCAATTTTATAATATTTTTGAATAACTATTTATTGAGTAAGTAAACAAATCCAGATTGCCTTGGCCTAAATGTGTACCAATACCATTATAAATCTATACCACATGGAATAGAGGTTATTTAAATATTTGTTTTTCATTAGCACTGTCTCTTAATGATTTATCTTCTGATATTTTTAAAAAATCCTTTATCTCAAAAAATTAATAGTTCTGAAATTTACTTTGAAAATATAAATATTATTTCATCGTAAAGCAGATAATAGAGCTATAAAGTCTATTACACCTGTATCTAAAGCTTAAACTGAAAGGAATATTCTAAGTATCATAAAGAAAAACAAAAACCAAACGTTCACAGATTAAAAAACTAAGTCTAAGTATGTTGTTCATATTCCACCTGACCTTAAGATTATTTCAGTTATTTTAAAATGAAACAACCACTACTTGTTGCAGAGATATTTAATGTAAATTAGGCATTAGATGATACATAGAAACCTTCAAAATAAAATTTAAGTAAAAAAAGAAAGAAAAATAAATAAATTTAAGTGAAGATGAACTTTTCTAAAATTTTGGGGAGAGTTTTCTAAAATAGATACACTAAATTCTCTGAAATTTCCTCATTTAATGTAGCTTCAGTTTCAAATATTTCTAATTTTAATGAAAAAAGAAAAAAGGTAAGATAATGTCCCAGGGGATTAAATAACTGAAGATTCATTATAAGGAGAGGAAATAGATTAAAAAGTTTTGAAACAATAAAGTCAAACCACAGTTCAGTTGTCTCCATTTAGTTATATAAAGTAGAATAAGAAACTGGCCATATAGCTGTGCCCATGAGTATGAAAAAATTCAAATTCATTTATGCCACAGAACACAGAAAGTGTAACTTTCTTTCTTCAGATTACTAATGTTTGCTGCCTTAAAACCTGCCATTAATTTCTTATACATGTAGGAAGCTACTAAACACTTAGTAAGTTGGTATAATTTTAAATAATCTGATAAAACGGTGAAATGCCTATTAGAATACCAGCAAAAATACTTGTTTCAGCCTTCATTTGAAAATGTGGTATGGGGATACTATTTTTAAAATGAATTTATAGATATTAAATTTTATTAACTCATAAATATATGAGATTCAACTAGATTGTTGACACATAATTACATTTGTTTTATAATTTTTGGTAATCTTAATATGTTTATACAATGGCAGTAATCAATATCACAATATACTTACTAAAGAAAATAAAATGTATGTCTGTGCCAGCTAAGCAAGCTTTTTACCCTCTATAAAACATGACAAGTATGCCCCGTAAGATCTTACAATACAAAAGCACAGGCAAGCTTCATTCAGTTTGAACTGTAAAGTTTACAGGAAGAAACAAAATGCACTAGTTTAAAAAAAAAAAGCTGGATCCTAGGTATTTAACAGGTATGTCAACGGAAGGAACTATAACAAAGTCATATGCAAATAGACATAAATCCTCCATAGTCATCAGTGAAATATATTTACATCTTCCATATTGTAATTTAATATTTATTCCACAATATCCTGGACCTTAAAGTGACACAATTCTAGAGGAAAGATAATTCAATAACTCTAAGTAACTTCTCTCAAATCCCACTGAGAAAAAGTATACATGCTATTATGGATTGAAGGTTTGTGTTCCTCCCAAATTTTGTATGTCTAAGCCCTAAACCCCAATGTGATAGTATTTGGAGAAGGGGACCCTGTGAGGTAATTAGAGCTAGCTTAGGTCACAAGAGTGGAGTCCTCATGATGGGATTAGTGGCTTTCTGAGGAGGAAGAGAAAGAGATCTCTCCTTCCAACCCCACCATCTCTTTGTGGGAGCACAGAGAAAAAAATCATGTGAAGGCTTGAGAAGACGGCCATCTACAGACGAGGAAGAGAGCCCCATCAGAAACTAAACCCTGCTGGACCTTGATCTTAGACTTCCAGCCTCTAAAACTGTGAGAAATAAGTTTCTCTTGTTTAAGCCGTCCAGTCTATGGTATTTTGTTATGGCAGCCTGAACAGATTAATACACATACTTTTAGGCAAACACTAGGCAATACTGCTTAGTATCCTCTCCTTACAGAAAGGGGCAAGGCCCAGTTTTGGTCTAGCCCCAAGGTACAACAGTCTAGAATATGGTAGTCTTAGCAACTAAACTTATCTTTACTGCAGATCATTTCCAAAGATCTATATACTGTAGGCCACGCTCTCCTTGCTTGAGACTGACATTAGCCTCTGGGCCATCCTCAGAATTAACTGTTTTCAGAGGGTTCAGGAGAAGCAAGGCAGACCTGGGCTCAAAACTGATCTGAATCATTATGGAATGGAATCCTGAAACGCATGGCAAAGGTAGTCCAAATTATTAAAATAAAAAAGAGAGGCAATCCAGACAGCTAGATCATGTTTAGTAAGAACACCAAGTTTCAATCCTCAAGTCATCCACCAGCTAAGCAATTAAAGCAGAGAAGGTCTAAGAAGAAACAAACAGCATCTCTAGAAGGGAACTGGTCTCAGTAGACAATTATGGTGTTGAAGGGACATGAGTAAGAAAAGATTCCATTAAAGAGAGAGGTAGGTTTGGTAATCACATACAATAAAAGGACATGGCTCTTTTCCATTTAAACACAAAGACATAGCAATGGACCTTAACAGTACACACTACAGCTATTTTAACAGTATTTTAAAATAAGATCTAATATTCTGAATTACTTAAATATATAAAAAAACCCAGGTTAGACAAGTATACAACAGATCTCAATATTGCCTCATCATTTAAGTAACCTGCAAAACACACCACCTTCTAAAATTTTTAACTTTTAAAAATTTATATGGAAGGTAAAACCAGTTTGTCCCTCACCAGATATTTAGCATAGAAATGCTTTCTATTTGTAATCAAAGTCCTTTCTGGCAACTTAGTATCCTCTTGGCTTAACATTCTAAGCTAAAATTACGTTACAGCAACAGTAGAAACTCTGTAAAATGCCAGATTAAAACTGCTAGGCAGATTTGGGGTATTTTTGAGCATTTCCTTTAATGGCAATTTTTTTTTAAGTGGGGGGGTGTAGGCATTAAACTATAAAGCTTAAAGAGTTATAAAATGCATTTTCACATGTAAAACTAATGGATTTCCTGAAAAAATTAAACATCCTAGTTTAAACTTCTTTAGCAAATCTTTAATGTATGTTACATGTCAGCCCCACAAAAAACCCCTCAATTTCGAAGAGCAGCCTTTCTATAAAGCCAAGACAAGATAGAAAGTATTTTCTGATATATTATTCTCAGCTTGCCTATAATCCATGAGGGCTGGTACAAGAATTCTGTGTGGTATATTATGAAGATGGTGAAAGCAGAGAAAAGCTTATCACTTACAATAGTATATTCAACAGCACCATAACAGCATTAGTCCGTCTGGGAAAACTAGTTCAGAATGAGGTTTCAACAAGTTTAACACCAAATTCATTTAGTAGTATGAACAATCCCTCAAAAGTTAGTATCTCCAGGTCCTCAAATTAAGTTTTAATTTCATTAAATATTTATAATGTCATTCTAAAAGTTTATCACCAGGAGAGTGAAATGTGAAATTAACAAAAGGCACTATTAAAGGCTAACAGAAAGGGCAGTGCAGAAAAAAAATTAAGAAGAAAATTTTTACCGATTTACTTCAAATTTATCCTTATTAAATGTCCTCAAATTTTTCTCCATTATATTCTTTAATATATCTTAAATATGGATATGAGAGACATGAGCCATTGGAAATATGAACCAACCAACAAAAAAACCACGTTGAATGTATAGAGATGGGTTTTGAAACTACTGCCCATAATCCTATTTTTGCTTGAGTATGGTTGTATAGATTGAGGACTAGGGTAGGAGAAGGAGAAGGGACAAATATTATGAAATTCCTAGGGAGGTTTTCTTTCCTAACTATATATATGCTCCCTCCATGCCCATCCTCAATCACTGAGCTGGATATTTCTGAGGGGAGCATACTGCATCTCCCTCAGGTGTGTTTGACTGACTTACTTTAGAACCTTAATGTTTTCCTCTCTCTGCACTTCATTTCCTTCTTTGGGGGGTGGGGGGTTGTTAATCTCTCTTCAAATGCATAAATATATACATCAAAACCCTTAAATGGGAAT